TGCCTCCCCAGCACCCTGCCCCCCGCTGAAGAAACCTTTTGCCTGCCGGCATTCTGTCCCCCGCTACAGAAACCTGTCCTCCGCTGCAGAAACCTGTCCCCCACTGGCACTCTGCCCCCTGCTGCAGAAACCTGTCCCCTGCTGCAGAAACCTGTCCCTTGCCCTTCCGGCACCCTGTTCCCTCTCCCCTGCCCCCAGCCGCAGAACCCTACCCCCACTGGCACCCTGTTCCCTGCCCCAGCACCCACTAGCACCCTTCCCCAGTACCATATCCCCTGCTCCCAACTGATTTTTCTGTGGGTCAGTGACCTCTGACTCAAGACAGGTTCCTTGCCCCTATCATAAATAAAGACAATGCAGAAACTTTTTGTGTTTGACATAGTATTTTATTTAAAAATGAAGCCTGGCCAACAAACCCCCAATTGGGGCCAAGCCCCCATCTGGCCACAACCACTCCTGCACTCCCCCTTCCCCCAGACCTTAGATCTGAGCCTATCATACACTGGAACCCCCTACCCTGAGCCCCTTACATACCCCAACCCAAATTCCTGCACCCTCATATCCACAAGCCTGTGGCTTGCCTAGTACCCCAACACTGCCCAGCCTGGAGCCCCCTTCCCGAGCCAGCGTCCCCTTCTCCACCTCCTCCTGCGTCCCGATTTCCTCCCAGAGCTTGCATCTTTCACCCCTTCCCACGCCCAAATCCCTCATTCCCACCTCAGAGCCTACACATCCTGTCTCAACCCAGCGAGGGTACGACTAGACTGCAGGAGTTTTTCAGGATTCTGGAGATATCCCAGAAACAATCTTCTGCATCCAGGGATGTGTTTGTTCTTCCGCTTTTTTTAGTGGAAGAGCAAACATGCTCTTTCTGTCACCCCTATATTCCTCTTTCCACGAGGAATAAGGGGGCTTCCAAAAGAAGGGGGTTTTCTGATATTTGGTCCAGTCTAGACAGGCCAAATGTTGGAAAAACCTCTTCCTACAGAAGAATTGAAAAAAAAAAGCAGCAGTATAAAGATCGGGTATAGCAAGTGATTGAGAGAAGAAGAATAGAGAGGGCAGGGCTTCAAGGAAGGGGCGGAGCGGTAGATCTTGGCTTGGTCTGTCATTTAAAAAGTGATCTTGGGTGTAAAAAGGTTGGAGACCACTGCTGTAGAGGAACACTTTAACCTCCCTGGACATTCAGTAATGGATTTAAAAGTAGCCATCCTTCTATGAAAGAATTTCAATGCCCAATTATAAAGGGAGACAGCTGAACTGGAGTTCATTTGCCCTCTGTTTAGGATTGAATAAGGATCTTAACTGGTGGTGCTACAAAGGCAATTTCCCCTCTCTTGATATCCACATTTCCACATGAACTGCCACATCAACTGTGAATGAATCCACATTTCCACATCAACTGTGAATGAGCCACTTCCACTCTGACTTGATTAGCCTCATTTACACAAATACCTTCTTTCTTTTGTTGTCCTTATATCTACCCAGACCTCTATAAACTCCACTCCAATTCATCTGATGAAGTGGGTTTTACCAATGAAAGCTTATGCCCTAATACAGGAGTGGCCAACATGCTTCTGTTGAGCTGCATGTGGCTCTTTGCTTAAAGAAATGCTGCTCTTGCTAGTTCTGAGCCGCGCGCTTAGACTGCTCATGGCCAGCGGCTCTGCACATGTGCCCAAGCACCTGCTCACGGTCGGCCGCGCTGCACACATGCCCCAGCGTCTTTAAAGAAAATTCAAAGGCTATTGTTTGCCAGGCTGAAGCAATTAATCAGATATATGAGTCTCTCCCTTATTGTTTTTGAACCTGTCATAGTTGCAGTCTCAGACCTGAATTTTTAGAACTATAAAAAAGCCATAATCTTAATAAGTAAAAGAAAATGTAGAAACCATACCAGAGATCAACAAGCTGGAATGAAACAGGCACTTCAAATTGTGCTAATTTACTTCTCAGTTCAGCTTAATTTTAAGTAACTCACAGGACATAGGGCAGTAGTGTTACACTTAAAATACATGGTGGGGATGGTTTTTGTTTTAGTGTGAGAATTTTACTGTATTTTTAAAGGTTTTTTTAAATTTGTTGTTTGTTCCCTGTCAAGTTCATAAAATCATAGAATACTAGGACTGGAAGGGACCTCAAGAGGTCATCGAGTCCAGTCCCCTGCCCTCATGGCAGGACCAAATACGGTCTAGACCATCCCTGATAGACATTTATCTAACCTACTCTTAAATATCTCCAGAGATGGGGATTCCACAACCTCCCTGGGCAATTTATTCCAGTATTTGATTACCCTGACAGTTAGGAACTTTTTCGAACCTAAACCTCTCTTGCTGCAGTTTAAGCCCATTGCTTCTTGTTCTATCCTCAGAGGCCAAGATGAACAAGTTTTCTCCCTCCTCCTTATGACACCCTTTTAGATACCTGAAAACCACTATCTTGTCCCCCTTCAATCTTCTCTTTTCTAAACTAAACAAACCCAATTCTTTCAGCCTTCCTTCACAGATCCTGTTCTCTAGACCTTTAATCATTCTTGTTGCTCTTCTCTGGACCCTCTCCTATTTCTCCACATATTTCTTGAAATGCAGTGCCCAGAACTGGACACAATACTCCAACTGAGGCCTAACCAGTGGAGAGTAGAGCAGAAGAATGACTTCTCATCATATAGGCAAGCAACACGGGAATGCAGGGGCAAGATTAGAAAGGCAAAGGCACAAAATGAGATCAAACTAGCTACAGGCATAAAGGGAAACAAGAAGACCTTTTATAAATACATTAAAAGCAAGAGGAAGACCAAGGACAGGGTAGGCCCACTGCTTAGCGAGGAGGGAGAAGCAGTAACAGGGAACTTGGAAATGGCGGAGATGCTCAATGACTTCTTTGTTTCGGTCTTCACCGAGAAGTCTGGAGGTGTGCCTAACGTAGTGAATACAAGCAGAGAGAGGGTAAGTTTAGAAGATAGGATACACAAAGAACAAGTTAAAAATCACTTAGGAAAGTTAGATGTCAGCAAGTCACCAGGTCCTGATGAAATGCATCCCAGGATACTCAAGGAGCTGATAGAGGAGGTATCTGAGCCTTTAGCTATGATCTTTGAAAAATCATGGCAGACAGGGGAGATTCCAGAAGACTAGAAAAG